AGGGCTTTTATTTTGTTTTTAACAGGTCCTATGAAGCCCGGCGAGAATGGGACGGTGCGCTTGCGCGCTGCTACGCTTGCGCTTGCGCGCTGCTGCACTCCTTTCTGCTGTGATAGGTTACAGGCAGTTCTGAGAGTGAGGCGTGGAATGGATTTAAATGATAAGCCCTGGGTGACTGTGAAGGCAGTTAGGAAGCCATAATTTTGTTAGGTTCAGGGGCCATTCTTGGAACGTGTGCTGCCAAGGCTCAGCTGTCTGATTCCTTCAGAGGTCCAGCTGCATGGAGCTTATTTTATGCAAAATAAAGTTACAGCGGCAGCTGCATAATCCTAATACCGCCCATGTACCTATCCTCTAGTCTAGTTTTCTGGATCTCTGCTTTTAAGTCAAAAGATTGCCTAGACTATACTGATATGTCCTGAATATGCCTCAGTCAAGTCCCTCTGGCTCACTGGTCACCCTGAGAATGGGCTCTTGTTGCCACTATGGGTGGACTGCCTTGGGCCATTGAGAAGGAGCCCTGTGCCTATATACAGCAGTGCATCTCGGGAGGAAGAAGGATGCTACCTCCCAGGTGTGCCCAGGCTGTATGTTCTCGTGATTCATTGGTGGACAGCCCATGTCTGTAACACACACGTACAGGCTTAAGAACAGTTACTTCTTACAGCCTTTAGTTCTTGTGAGCTCAGCTGCTCGTCCAGCTTCCTCAGCACCATGGTGAATGGCCGAGGCTGGAATAGCTGGGAACTGGTCACATGCCTTCAGGATCTTTGCATGGAGAGCTTAGGTTTTCTTGTAGCATGGTAGCCTCTGGGCAGTTGGACACTTACCTGGCATGTAGGAGTACCTGAGGAAATATACCAACTACCAGCTAAGAAGGTGCTGCGGGTGCCATGTCAGTTTGGTACCTATCATTATTTCCAGTTTTTTCTCCTTTTTTCCCAGGTACTAGAGACTGAGTAGATGGCCCTCTGCATCTAGGCAAGCCTTGTATCACAGAGCTGTCCCTTGGTCTTGTTTGTATTTTGTGTTTTGAAATAGGCTCTCCCTAAGTCACCAGTCCCAGTGTTTTGGAGTTTGTTTGCAGGGTCTGTCTATGCAGCGTTACCTACTGTGGCACTATAGCTAGGCTGTTCCTAAATGCACAACAGTCCTCATGCCTCAGCCTCCTGAGTGCTGCCTGGGATGACAGAGTGCCCCGCTGTGCCCAGAACCTGGGATGACATCGTGCCCCACTGTGCCCAGAACCTGGGATGACAGCATGGGCCACTGTGCCCAGAACCTGGGATGACAGTGTGGCCTTCTGTGCTCAGCACCTGGGATGACAGCATGGCCTTCTGTGCCCAGCATTTCCACTTTCCTCAAGTAAAAGTTCAAGGGACAGATCACAGACCCTGTTTCTTATTGATTGACATATTCTTACTGGTTAACTGTTCTCAGTATTTTGGCCTAAGAGATTTGAAAAATGGAATTTTTATTAATAAAATATAATAGAGTCATAAAGATACTTTTCCTCATCAAGTTTTTTAAAATTTAGTTTTTGTGTTTAATACAATCTAAAAGGATATCCTATAAATATTTCTTGACATGTCCTGAACACTCTAGATTACTCTACTGCTCAGTGAACATGTGTGTATGTATGTATGTATGTATGTACACATGTTCCCTCCATCCCACAAAACCCTAATTGATCCAGGTAGGTGTTGCAAAGTTCATGAGTTTTTGCAAAAAGATATTTAGAGTGGTGTGTGTGTGTGCGTGCACGTGCGAGCGTGTTGTTTACATGTACATATCCAAATGTAAAGATGTAAAAATTCGTAGGGTAGTTTGAGACCCCATGTCTGAATTAGGGCTGTAGGTCAACAAGCTCACAGGTTTCAGGAACTAGCTGGCCACAAAAAGAAGAAACTAGCCAGAAGGCAGGTCAGCTAGGTCGTTCGGGGAACTGGCTCACCACAAAGGATAGCAGAACTGAAGATACAGGTTGGCTGAGTTACTCCGGGAAATGGCTGCTTACAATGGTCAGGATAAGGTCACATTCCTGAATAGAATGTGTACAGGATGTTTCCCACTCCCCACCTGGTTTGTGACTAGCTAAATAATGAGTTGAGAACTTTCTACTATTTTTATGATATGGGTTGGGATTTTCCTCTGTTCCTCCTTGGCTTCCCCCTTTACCCCTCTGGTGTGTGGTTTTGTCCTTTAAATATCCCTTGCTCTCGAGCCTGGGGGTCGTCACTCCTCTGACCTTGCATGGGACACGAGTCTCTGCCTCAGCGCTGAACCTGCCCGAATAAACCTCTTGCAGTTGCATCAAGTCCGTTCTCTCTCGTGGTTTTTGGGCGGTTGCGTCCCAAGACTTGAGTGAGGGTCTCCCCTCTCTGGGGAGTCTTCCACAGAGAGGACGGAAGGAAAGATTATTTGGGTGAAGAAAGGACTAATGACACAGGATGATCCAGGTAGAAGGAGGCCTCTAGAACAGAAGGGAACACTGAAGACCTGATGGCTGGAAGGAGGGATGAGGGAGTGGCAAATAGTTAGGGTGAACGTAGGTCTGGAGAAAGTATCACTTGAGAATGGCCATTTGGTGTTAAATGTCAGCACAGCTGTCTCTCAGATTGCTTTTCCTCCACCTCTGTGCTGAAGTATTCTTTCTGGTAGCTCCCATCTTCCTTTTCCAGAGTAATAGAAATTGGCTATTCTAAGAATCCCAAATGTAGGTACTTGGGGAAATTTACTGACAGCATAGATTTGGCAAAGCTTCAGAAAACATAATACAAAACTTACTTTTAAATTGCTATTTTATTGGCATTGTATATATTTTGTGAAGGAGGTGCTACCTGCCAAGGACCAGCCTTGACTTGGAGAGGGTTCCTGAGAGGAGTGTTTGAGAGCAGTGATAGAAACTCAAGATCAAGGTCAAATTGTGCAGTACAAGCTAACAGGCTGTTTTCTGTGGAGACAGGTTTCCAGACTGCTCTCTCTTGCAATTCTGATAACTCTGGATAGCTCATCTCTTGCAGATCAAAAGTCCAGTCTTTTATTTACATATCAATTCAGTCATTACCCCAAGCTTCCTTTTGATTATCTCATGAATCAGCATTCCATTACCCAGACTCTTGATTCTTAGAGATAGCCACATTTTTTTTTAAATATTACAAAAGAATTCAGAGATCTACCTTTGTAAGCAAAGACAGTGAGCTAGCTGGGTGGGATCCTGTGCTGACATTACCATTTCTACCACATCGAGGCCCAAACTAGCTCCGTTCCAGGCTGACCTTGAACTCAGGAATCTGCCTGCTTTTGTATCTTTCTGGCAAGCTTGCTCATAGTGCAGGTGCCTCTGTTTCAGGTTCATGAAGCCCCTCATACAATTCATATTGTATCCTTATATTTTGCATAGTTGATAAATTATATATATATATTTTATTTTTTTATTTTTTTATTTTTTTTTGGTTTTTCGAGACAGGGTTTCTCTGTGTAGCCCTGGCTGTCCTGGAACTCACTCTGTAGACCAGGCTGGCCTCGAACTCAGAAATCCGCCTGTCTCTGCCTCCCAAGTGCTGGGATTAAAGGCGTGCGCCACCAACGCCCGGCTAAATTATATATTTTTGAACTAATGTTTTCAAAGATTTTTTTCCCACTGCCTAAGGGCTGTCCTGAAGATCTCAGCATTTACTGTTTTGCTGAGACATAGACACCCTTGTTTTCTGGACTCAGGCTGCTTCTAACTATCATGGAGTCATTAGCCTTGGCAGGGAGAATATTTCCTGAAGGGGACATAAAGTAAAAAATATATAAATATTTATACAAACAAGCCTTATGCTCACAGCAACCACTGACACTGTGGAGGCCCACACCCTGCTGGCTGTGTCCCATGGCAGGAACCTTGTCACGCTAGCCCTTGCATGGACAAGCTGGACTTGGCAGTATTTAATATTGCAACTTCAATTTTATGAATTTTACATGAGTTAAATTGTTTTCTAAGTTCATTGCATTATTTTATTGAAATATCTCAGGAACCCTGCACACACACATGCTAGTGTGTGTGGTGCGTGCGTGCCCATGTGCTCGAGCACGAGCACACACCCACACATACCCACCCACACATACATATACATACATACATACACACACACACACGCACACATTCCTTAGGGATCTTTTGTTTGTTTTTCACTTGTCAGGATCATTTTTCCAAAGCATTTTTTAAAATTTTATGTTTCTAACAACAAAATAAAGTATAATAAGGTAAAACTATCACATCAAAGTTGGATAAGGCAAACCAACAGAAAGAAAAGAGCCCCAAGAGCAGACACACGATCAGAGACCTACACAGTCACACACTCAGGTGTCCCATAAAAACACTAAGCTGAAAGCCACAGTGTACACGCAGAGGACCTGGTGCAGACCTGTGCAGGCCCTGTGCTTGCTGCCTCAGTCTGTGAGTTCATACGCACTTTGCTCAGTTGATTTAGAGGACCTTGTTCTGCTGGTGTCCTCCGTCTCCTTTGCTCTTACTCTTTCTGTCTCCTCTTCTGTTGCTCTTCTTCTCTGAGCTCTTAGGGGAAGGATTTGATGTAGACATCAAATTTAGGGCTGAGTATTCTACGGTCTCTCTCCCCTGACCCGTGTGTGTGTGTGTGTGTGTGTGTGTGTGTGTATGTGTGTGTGTATGTGTGGATCTGGCTGAGGGTCTCTGTATTTGTTCCCATCTGCTGCAGGAGGAAACTTCTCTGATGATGGCTGACTAAATCCCTGATTATGAGTATAGCAGAATATCATTAGGGGCCATTTAATCATTCTTATTTTTATTGTTTTTTTTTTTTTAAGACTGTTTATGTGATATTTGCTTGGTATTGGCCCTGGGCTTTCTAGTCTCTGGTAACTTGGTCATTCAAGCAGTGTTGGGTATGAGTACCATCTCATGGAAGGGATCCTTAGGTCAAATCTCTTTCTGGTTTTAAAAGATTTTTTGTGTGTGTGTGTCTGCATTATAGGAATATTGCAATACGGTCCAGCTGGATTCTGGGGTAGATTATCGGAAAAGGGAACACACCCCTGCAAGAAAACTCTACTACCTGTAAGTATTCTTTTTGTGTGTGTGGTTTTTAATTTTTTAAGCTTATAATTTAATGATTTATCAAGAAAAGATTAAGAAAATAAGTGTTTTATTAGAACCCAAAAGACTAATCTGAATTTCATAATTTTAAACAAAATGTGATGATGCTCACTTCTTTATACCGCTTTAACCATTTATATTTGCATCGAATGTGTGATTGGGTAAAACCTTAATTATGTTTTTGGGGAGGAAATGACAGATGGTCAGGAAGTAATGAGTATCCCCTCAAAAGAGGCTGTGATATTAAGAGACTGTCTTTAATGTGCTAAAGGAATTAATTATTTGTGGACATCTCCGAGAAGCGTTCCATCCCCGTCCCCCACAATTGTTGCTGTGTTTTGTTAGACAATCTGTCTATATTTACTCTTGTTGATTGACTCTCATGCATAACTGATACAAAATGTATCCTATATGCAAATACAACAGAGTATGTCTTGAAGTCCTTTAAGAGACTTTCCTGAGTAGGAGCACTTTATAATAATAGATGTCTTCAACACGTGCAGTTATTGCTAATAATTTCAAACAAATGCAGTTTGTTTGAAAATGTCACTTGTGAGGACCCCGGGCAGGAAAAAGTGCTTTCTAGATGCAACTGTTGTTCAATATCTGCCAACAGTGCTTGGCGCATAGTAGGCTCTCAGGAGCTACACCCCAGGACTAGTTGTAATTTAAGTAAAGGGCATGTTTCCGGTAATTTAAATTTTGATGACAACGTGCCTAGGAGAGGTTGAGAAAACTTCTTGTCTTTGCCGCTTTGTAAGCAGGAGTACTTACTGTTTTTGAAGCAGAAATTAGCCAGGAAAATCACATAATTAAAATTGCATACTTTATAGCATACCAAAGGGACTGGTGCAGCTTATATTCAGATGCTGGTGATTACTATAGATGCTTCTTCATCTGTCCTTAAGTACTTAGTCTTTAAAGTACTTTATAATTTATAACAATTCTCTGAACGCTATTTTCTGCTTTCATATGGACACTTTCTCCTCAGTTTCTTTTACCTTGAGGTTTTCTGGGTCTTTTGTTTTTCTGATGTTAATAACCTTTCCCTAACTTGCTGTGGCCTATTTCATGTTGTTTCCAAGTGATATTTGTCAATAAATGGTTATTTCCTTTATTCTTTTTGCAAAGTAGTATTCCCTGTTTTTAGGCAAAGTATTATGGAAAAATTAAAGTATTTCTTAGTGAATAATTTCTTAATTGAAGAAAGTGAGCTGGGGCCCTAGTCAGTTGGCAAAGTCCTCACCAAGCAGGTATGAGGACTGGGATTCGATTTCCAGCAGCCACGGGAAAGCTGGATGAGGCAGCATGGATACATTAACCCAGTGCTAGGGACCTGAGACCTGAGGCTCTACGCTTACTGGCCAGCCAGCGTAGTCAGATTTCTAAGTTCTAAGGTCAGTGAGAGATACTGTCTCAAAAACTATGGAAAAGATGATTGAGGAAGTTACCGCATATCCACTTCTGGCACCTGCATGCCCGCATGCGTGTATGCGCATGCGCGAATGCGCACATATTTGCATATGCACAAACCTGTGCCATGACGTCTCTGTCATAGTGCTAACACAGTCTCATCTCAGTAGGGTTTCTTGAGGTAAAAAGAGCTGCTTTTGCTGGAAGCATAGACATTTTACCTAACCTTGGGGTATTCAGTTCTTTTTCTTATTAATCAAAGTGATTTTATTTTTTAAAGTTTATTTTTATTTACTTTTTTTGTGTGTATGTATGTGTTTACATGTTTATATGAAAATTCATGCACGCACACACGTTTCTCAGGAACATGTGTGGAGATCAGAGGCACAGCTTATGGGAGCTGGCTCTCTCTTACTGCTAAGTGGGTTCTGGGGATCAAAATCAGGTAGTCAGCTTTTAGAGTAAGTACCCTCGGCCGTCTGATCTACTCACAAAGGGAGGAAATTCTAGCACAGGGAAACTCGGTTTCTAAGACATGCAGTGGGGAAACACAGACCTAGGCTAACATCTTGGAGTCTAGGGAACCAGGATGTACAAGGGAACCCTGAAATACGTCAGGGTAAGAGGCTCAGGGAGTGCCTCTTGTTTCTTCGAACGAGCCCACAGGCAGGACTCCTTCCCAGCAGAGTCAGAGAAAATCCCCTTAGGTCATGACAATAGTTTTGCTTTATCTGGATTTTGATTTTTTGTTTTTGTCTTTCTTTTTGTGGTATTAAAGATTGAACCCAGGACCTCTCAGAGATTAGGCAAACACTATACTACTAAACTATACCTCAAGCCCTAGTATTTTACTTTTTATTTATTATTTAGTTTTAAAGACTTACTTTTATCATTTTAAATTCTGTATATGGATTTATCTGGTGGTGGTAGGTGTGTGTGTGTGTGTGTGTGTGTGTGTTTGTATGTAGTGAATGGAGGCACCCTATAGTCCAGAGGTATAGGTTTCCCTGGAGCTGGACTTACACACAGGTGGTTGTAAGCAGCCTGAAATGGGTGCTGGGAGCTATGTTCAGGTCCTCTGCTAATGCAGGCTTGGCCTCTGAGCTGTCCCTTCCAGCTCCTGGACTTTTGTTTTGAGTCTTTCAGTCGTCTGACCTACCCTTGAATTGTCCTTGAGTCCAAGCTGGTCTTGAACTTGTGAGCTTCCTGCTTTATCCTTCTGAGTATCTGAGATTACAGACTCCCACACCCAGCTTATTTTATAGAAAAACTTTCTACCTCTCCCTTTGTAACAGACTCTTGTGTGCTGTGCTGTTCTCTTGCTCTGTCAAAACATGTTTCCCTCCATTACTCTCTGGACAAAGTCTGTTTCTAAATATATGGGTCCAGACTACTCCCCTGTCAGTTTTACTGGAGTCCAACTGCCTGACAAGCAGAATCCTAGCTTCTTTCTCAGAGATAGCACTTACTGTCAGATTCTCTTTCCAAAAAAAAAAAAAAAAAAAAAATTCCCTTCCATGATCGTTAATTAACTGGAAGTATTCAGATGAGATCACTGTATTCGGGCTGGAGGAGTGGCTAGACTAGAAGTATTCATTCACTCAGCATTCTACTGCTTCAGCTTTCCAAAGGCAACGAAAAATGTCCCAAATAATACTAAAAATTACCAGAGAGTTCATTCAAAACAACCTGCGAAGCTGGCCTGGAGCCAGGTGAGCAGTTCAGAATATTGTCTGCTTCCTGAGAACCGATTCACACGGACATTGCCTGTTTGTTGCCGTCCACTTCAGTTGGAGTTTTGTGTATGTGTGTTCAGTGTGTGCTCGTGCCATGACATGCATGTGGAGGTCAGAGGGCAGTCATGGGCATCAGCCCTTGCCTCCTGATTTATTCAAGTCAGGGTCTTGTTTGTTGCTGAGCTGCATAGTCCAGGCAAGCTGGCCCTTGAGCTTTCAGTAGATTCTGCTGTCCCCACTCCCCCTACAGGACATTGACATTCGCTACAGGAATGTCAGGGTTACAGGCACACACCCTTGTATACAGCTTTACACCAGGTACCAGGGATCCAAACTCAAGTCGTCAGGCTTGTGCAGAAAGCGTGTTTATCTTTTGAAACGTCCCCCTAGCCTTTAGAGGGTCTTTCTTTGCGGGTTCCAGAGTGTTTTGTTTTTTTACTTATCCCAAGTAGTTTTTAATCCTAGCTATGCTAAGCTTAGGTCAATGTTAGCAAGTTGCCAGCAACAGAGATTTTAAGTGTAAATGCTCAAATTTGCACCTGGCTGAAACCAGCTCGCCACTGTCCACCGTCCTTCCGCAATAGCTGTACCTTTAGTCCTCAGACAGGCACAGCTTCTTTCTGGATTCTTGCTGAGGTAGTCTGTTAAAGCCCAGGCGGCTCCATTAAGCTCTGGATTTCCCATTTGTAGCTGGGTGGCCACTCGGACCACTGACTTAATTTGAACCTCATGGAGCTTGACAAGCATGACAGTTACCCAAGAATTGACTTGCCCTGGATTAGCTCTTTGGGGCTGGTAACAGGAGAGGCTATCATTTGTATATGCAGTGAACATGTCTGTCCAGCAGGGGGCACAGCTATGGAGATGGCCCCATGGATGCTGCCTTGGCTGTTTTGCTGTCCCACTGGTTTCCTGAAGAGAGAATTTCCGGTCACCTTAGTCTCCCGTTTTCTGTTTGCTTTTCATTTGCTTTTAGGAACTGATAAGTGTGAGGTTTTTCTGATAAGTCTGTGGAAGGATCTAGAATGGGACATTCATAGGCGCACATCCATCTTTCCCAAATTTACATACAACCTCCATTCTCAGCACAACAGCCATGGCCTCATGGGAAGATTTGATTTCGTTTTCTTTTAAATTGTGAGTGTGTGTGTGTGTGTGTAAAATGTAATGTATTTGTATGCACATGGGTGCTGTCCTGGTTACAGTTTTATTGCTGTGAAGAGACACCATGACCATGGCAACCCTTACAAGGGACAACATTGGGCTAGCTCACAGGTTCAGAGATTCAGTCCATTATCATCATGACAGGAAGCATGGCAGTTTCCAGGCAATGGGGTGCTGAAGAAGGAGTTGAGAGTTCTACACTTTCATTCAAAGACAGCAGAAGATTGTCTTCCAGGCAGCTAGGAGAAGATTCTCAAAGCCTACCCCCCATAGTGACACACTTCCTCCAACAAGGCCACACCTCCTAATACCACCACAGGTGCATATCATGTGTGTGTGTGTGTGTGTGTGTGTGTGTGTGCCTATGTGTCTGTGTGTGTGTGTGTGTGTGTGCAAGTGTGTGGAGGACAGACGTTGATGTTTGTCGCTGCCTTATTTTTGAGTTAGAATCTTTCTTACTGAACCTGGGGTGTAGCATCTCCACTAGAATGGCTGACCAGCAAGCTCCTGGGATCCTCCTGTCTCTGCCTTCCCTCTTCCCAGTGCCTGAGTTACAGGCTCATACCACTGTACTTGTGTTACATAGTTACAGGCTTCTGAACTCAGGCCCTCGGGCTTGGACAGGAAACACCGTACCCACCGAACCAG